GTATATACTTAAATAAAGACTTATTTGATGCCACAGGTAGTAATAAAGAAGACTTCTTCTGAGGTTCAAATGAAGTAAAGAAGAATATTTCAATTAGATAAGACTCCTTTTGAGGAGAGATTGTAAAATAAAACAAGAATCTTTTGAAGGGCTTTAAATTGTTTTTTATTTTTCCTTTTTTCTAGTTTTAACTTTAACAATTCATTATTTTTTAGAATAATCAATAGTGACAAACTGTTGGCAATGATTCTAGTTGATTTAGAGATATCATGTTAAGATACTAGGAAAACATAATATTGTTCCCTAAATCTGATTTAGAGTACTTAATTGAGACTTGGTTTTGTTTAATCTGAATTGGTTTAGTAAACACATTATATTTTTAAGTAATATAATTTTTCAACTAGTAATGTATAAAATAAGTTAATCATTATATGAGAAGATCTGTAATTATTTTGAAAATTTTTTAAGCATCTTAATAAAGACAAGCTATTTTGATATAATTGTAGATTAAAAAAAATAATAATAATTAAAGATTTAAAAATTGACAAAGTTGAAATTTATAATAAAAACATAGCAAGTGAACTCAAACTTTTAGAAGCAATTGTATATACATATATATATTATATATTTATTTTTTTACAATTTATTAAGAAAGTAAAGTAAATAATAAGATTATAGCAAAAAAAATATTTCTTGACTTTTTTAGATCATAGAAAATCAAGTTTTTGTTTAAAAAAAAATATAAACAAAAGAAAGGATTTGAAAATATCTTTTGAGATAAAATTTTAAGTTGATTTAAGAATAGTATTAGTATTTTATTAGAAAAAAAAATATTTTTTTGCAAATATTTTTTTTGTATGTGAGCAGAAAATTAGTAGAAAGAGTTTTTTTTATATCATAATTATTTAATTTTTATAAAAATATAAGTTTATAATTTTAACTATATATATACTTAAATTTAAAATATATATATATTTTATATATTATATTTTTTTTTAATATTTAATAAAATTAATAAATTATATTATATATTATTAAAAAATAAAAGTTTTAAAAAATGACCTATGGATTAATAGTGCAATAGTTAGCATTTCATAGGTCAGATCGTAAGATACAAGTTCAGATTTTTCAGAGGTAGTGCCTGAAGTTTAGTAGAACTTATATCTGTTGGCCTAATCAAATTCTGATGTTTCTGCATATAGCCACATGATAATTAGAGGGGATTGAATGTTACATGTGGTACAGTCTATATAAAGATTATGATCTAAAGATTAAGATCTGAAATCAGCTAGGATTATCCGGACTTAATCTAATTACTCCTAGTAGTAAGTTAAGAAGGTAATAAGAAGTGTAGATTTAATTAATCAGTAGGATACTGCTGACTATCACATGCTAGGCTATAAGGACTGCCATAACCAGTACTATCGGGAGGTCTTGATAGAAGGAGAAATCTGTTGACTACTTTGAAAGATCAAAAACTAGATCCAGAATAAAGAAAATTTGATAGTCTGATAACCAGCCTACTCTTAATAAAAAATTGTGCTAGAAATAATCAAGAAGGAATCACACAGTTTTCTAAAAAACTAGTGCTTATATATATAGTATAATCAATATAACTAATTATATATAGATAGATACTAATGAATAGTTGATATATATAGTACTTATTTAATATATATATAGTATAAAGAAATAGTTCATATGTATAGATATAAACAAACAAGGAGTATGAATGAAATATACTGTACAGTTACTGAGTAAACTTGTAAGGTTTCAAGAAATAGCTTCAAGAGTTGAATATAACATAAATATATTAAATAGAAACTGTGGATCTGTTTAAATATTTTTAGATATTTTCCTTTCTCTTTTTCTAACCCATTTTTTTGTAGTTTCTTATATTCCAGCAGCTTGATTAGACATATGGCAGTGACAATTTGCTGACAATAATGTAGTGAACTAGGAGGGTTTTTATTCAAAAACATTGCAGAGTGAAATATTGTCCTCAAGACTGAACTTAGAGGCTTTTATGTTTACGATGAGTTTGTTAGATTAGAAGAACAGTTTAACTGTAGTATGTATCATGCTGCTCGAATGAAAATGTGCTTATGTTTTCAATTGATTAATAAACTTACAATCTAGCCTAGCTACAGGTACTCAAAAAAATAAAAAAATAAAAAATAAAAGTTTTAAAAAATTTAATATTATTAAGATCATTAAATTTTAATTATTATTTTTAAAAATATATCAAATTTTTAATCATTTAAATTTTTATTTTAATATTAATTTTTTAAAATTACTTATTTTATCAAAATTTAGATAAAATTAAACAAAAAGATAATGATTTTAAAACTTAATATTAAGTTAAGTTATCAAGAAAAAAAAAGATTTTTTAATTATTAGTTGTTTCCTAAAAATAATTATCTATATACAGTATATACATTTTGTTTTATAGTAACGTTAAATTTATTTTTTTATATCGGTCCATATTTCATATGAAAATTTAAATTTTTATTACGTGGTTATTTATTTGATTTTACCCGAGTTTTATTAAATAGTAAAAAGAAAGGGGGATAATATTTTTTAAGAAAAACTAAATGCGACCAAAATTTAAATAAAATCTTGATGTAATTTTTATTCTTATGTTATTTGTCATTCTCCAATTCTAATAAGCCATATTCTTAAAGTATATACATAGGGAAAAGAGAAGTGGGAGGTAATTAATTATTCTTAATTATTCTTAACGTATGCTTAAGTACCATTTTTTCCTTTTTCCTTTTTTTTTTTTACCACTCATGAAATCCTACGGAATATATCACCACACTATATGCTAGGGTTACGATTTTTCTTTTTTTCGAATATATAATAATAAAAATTCATCGTCAGTAGAAGAAATTAGATGGCCGTTGATATTTCATCAACTTTCCGACGAACCCATTCTCTCAGCGTTATCTGATGGTGATCGTTTAATATTTTGTAAATTGTAGCCTGGTATTGAACTGAAATTTCGATACATAATTTATGGACATATGCACCACAGTTTGGGTAGAGAATATGTGGTATGGGACGCGCTGACACAATTCCGGAAATGCGCAGCATATTGTTCATTTCAAATTCGGAAATTTCACCAGGCATGGAGTTATTATATCCGATACCTACTGCGCGTAGAGATTATGAGATGGCTATTTTTTTTTTTTTTTTTTTTTTAGAAAAAAAGAGTTCAAGAAGAAATAAATGTACCCAAATTGAAGACTTTATGTATATGCCCCAGAAATGCATGAGAAACGAACTCGCCCACAACGTAATTTCGGTTTGGTCGGACCTTTTTACTGATAATCGTTTCCGAAATTAATTGTGCGAAATCGGATTTAACTGATACATTAACAAATATGAATTGATTGGGACTATTGAACGCTGTAGTAATGGTCGATATGTCATGAATCAGAACTTCGTCGCTAAATATTCCAACTTGAAACAGTATCCACTGCATTTTATCAGCAGATGTGGAGGAGGTAGCGAAGGGAGAATCCACTCGAGGAGGAGAAGGATAAGACTCGTAATGGACCGGTAATGCTGATGTATAGTCCAACAGTATTTGATGAAGCCGTGTTCTTGGACACATTTTGTTGCGTACTAGGCTTTCTCTATTAGATGAATAAACGAAGAAACCATTATAAGCAAAGACTTGACAATTCATCAGCACATAAAAGGGGTAATACTTGCAGTTCCATTCCGGAATCCCAAGCGATGAACAAATCTACATTTTGCCTAGCACACGCGACGAACAGCATCTCTTGTTTCTCGAACTCGTGATAGAGCATGCTAATGACAATAACGGCATCTATAAGATAAGATGTACGAATCAATGTATATGTGGTGAGTAAAATGACATATAAACAAGAAAACTCGATCTAAATATACTTTTTACTGTGGACTCGTAATCTGACACCCTCTCCCAAATTCCCCGTATCACATTTGCGCCTATAGTCGCTTCCTCGATGTGCTAAATCATCGAATGAATAGATTACCTTTTACGTTACGTGATCAACAATGGAACTTAATTTACTCACTTGCAATTGCTTATTGGGAATCAGGAGGTAAATTTTGGCTGCACCTTTGTCGCGTAGTTTCGAAACTATCAGGGACATTAGCTGGGCATCCTCGTTGCAGGCAATGTAGATATCAGTATTCGATATATTTATGGTACTCATTATTTAACGTTGTCAAAAGAATGAAAGAGTGGATTTTATTTATTTTTTTTATATATCTATATGTGTATTTAGAAAGGAATTAAAGAATTTCGGCGGACCTTATTTTTTTAAAGGAAATTTGGTTTATTATTATTATTATTATTATTATTTTTCCAGAGGAATTTCATATTTTTAATTTCCCTCCTAGAAATTCGTTAAATTCCTCCTTGTGCATTTTATATTGATTCTTCATGTTTGATTAACTGCCTAACGAAGATTTCACAATATTTTTCAAAAGCAATCGCGTAAATGGTCTTATGCTACTAAATAAAGTTTAAAAATATTCCGCAAACCAATCAGACTAGTTAATATAACATCCATGAAAAAGAATATTCATTGGTTCTATAAATTTGCAAGATTAAAAAAATTTTTTTTAAAACAAATGACTAAATATATTTGATTATACAACAAGGTTGTCTTTCGAAGCAAAAAATCACTCCCAAAGTTGCACTTATAGTTAACAAAGACGAGTAAGTTAATTAGAGAATTAGCTTTAGTGATGCATAAAATATATGTACAGTTTACAAAATAATAATAATAAACAAACAAATTACTGTATATACTTATTTTATAAACCAGTATTTTTATACTGTACATAAGCAAGCGTGTGCTTAATTTCGTTCGAACAGGAAATTTCCTGGATCCTAAATCATAACTCCTGAAATTTCAGGTTGAGCCAGAAAGTCTGTCAAACATTTTGAAAATTTTTTAAAAAATAAAACGATTGAATTTTCTTTGATAAAATCTATTATTCGACAAATTATAGTAAAAAATTCTGATCTTATCTATTGGAGCTTCACGTTTTCATCAGCATTTCATTGGCAAAAACAAATAGATAAAAAACAACTGATGGTCCTTTTCAGTGTAATGCATGCATTTTTTT